CCCCAAAACCCCAAAACCCCAAAACCCCAAAACCCCGTATGGTTAAAACTTTATAGAATATCAATTAAACATACGATATGAGTTTGGAACTGATCTCGCTCATCGATGAGAATCTTAGCATCTTCTTGGGGCTAATCATGGCCTTTTTACGCTGCCTAAAATCTAGATTAGAACCCACTAAATTCCTCTGAAGATTAGTTTAGAGCTCAAATAGGTAAGTTTAGCGTAAATATGAGCAATTAGGAGATGTGCTTACTCTATAAAGTTTTTGATTGACTTGCTTTTGCTCGTCCTTAATATACCTAAAGATTAGGGTTACCAAAATTACTCCTTTTAATGTATGGGCTACTAGTCAGGGGGCTAGCAAGAGAATTTGCTTGGCTCTTGGACCTCAAGATCTTCCTGTTAGTGAAGATCTTTTGTAATCTCGACTGTATGCTAGCTTTATCTCGAGAGGTTCAGGGCTCTTCTTTGATCTCCTTTGCAATATTATCCAAAAAATGTTTAGAAGGAGATGCTTTAGAGCTCTTCACTTTAATCAACTTTAGTTTAGGATTGAATCATAATTTTGACCGAGGCCTGATTTCTGGGAGATTTGTTCTTGCTTCTGTTGTTGCATCAGCCTAAAAAGTCATCAAATATGATTACCTGGCTCGGATTTGAGGAAGGAGATCCAGTCATACTGGCCTCAACCTTGTCTATATAAGTCTCCCTGACCTTTGACGACAGCTATGAAAAAGTTATTCGTTATTGAAAATTAGTCATAAAAATCTTGGTTGATAAAAATTCATTAGGCTAAGCTCTCAAAGATTATAGCTTATCATCAAAAATGTACCTGAATTGGTTGAAAATCTCTTGTAGTCATATCAACAAGCGTTATCGCGTTATTCATGTTCTCATGAATAGCGTCTTTATCTTTTGGAGATTTTTGAACAACAGCTCTCTGGATAAACTTGTTCTCAGGAGGTAAAACTCCGCTCTCTTTCTTTACCACCTAGATATTATAAGTATTCACGGGTAAATTGAGACTAAAGGGATACATATGCATCACCTTTTCAAAACTTGTGTAAATTTTTGAAGACCTTCAGAAAAATTCTATTTTTAATAGTACCTACAGATTTCTCATCCGTTTCTGAAAGGAAATCAACTGGCTTTTGGAAGGATTCTAACCTATCTCTGGAGTCTTTCGGTGCGAAGAATACAGTTTCAGGGGTCATACAATTGTCGAGTTCGTCCTAAACAGAAAAGATATGCCAATCCAACATGAAATTTTCTTGCTTACCTCCTCAATTTCGCTCTTGAGAGAACTATCTGAAGAGACTGAAGGAGTCTCCTTCACCCGTTTTGAGAAGAATGTCGTAGGCATCTTCTTAATGGGTGACTAAATGTTAAGCAAGCCCAAACAGGATATCTTACGTATGAAAAGTAAGGATCGGCCTGGGACTGGCAGTCCTGAACATGAATGACCAAATCATCTCTTGAGCACGCATTCTTATTCGGCTTCTTCATGCTTCGCCTTGAGAAGCTGACTACACTATCTATATTGTTTGTATAAGGAATAGCTTTATAATATTTGTAAGACCGGATCCTAATTTTAAGAGATGGTATTAAAAATAATGAGCATAAATCGCAAATCGAGGATTTTGCTTAAAGAATCATAGGATCTTGAGGGAAAACAAAATTGTTCCCTGATGCGTACCTCATCTTGACAATGGAATCAAGGTTGCCTTCTTGTGTATCTTCTTCAGTGAGGCCTTCCTCAGGAGAATTTTCTCTATGTGATAAAACCATTGGAAATACTATTAGAATTATTCATAGCTTTCGTGATCAATTCTTCTATCGGATCCTTCTACATAGAGTTAGAGGGAACTAAGCTACCAAAGCGGTACTATACTTACCTTAATTATTGGCTTGAAATTAGACACGTAGTCTTTAACTTTCAGGGTGAGATCATGCAGCTTCCAATAAAACTCAGATTTATTTGATTTGTAGTTTGCAGGGTCAAGTGGATCGGGCTCTGGAAAAGATAGTTAGGGCTGTCCTTATTTAGGAACAATACTGTGAATTATAAAGAAGCAGTTTGTAAGGGAAAGAGGCTCTCAGTGTTTGACAAATACTATATGAGATACTGAAAGAAAATAGAAAATTTACATGAAACATTACCTTGAACAACATGATTTGGATGATGAACTGTATGAGTTTTTGAAAAAGAGACGGCTTTCTTTAAATGCCTTGTTTTACGACATGGAGATCCTTTTCTAGGTGTCCTCAAAGTTTTTCCAGTTATATCTAAACAATCGTTTATTACCCAAAAAGCGAAAGAAAACCCATTAACCTTCCTAAAACACCCCAAAATCACTCAAAACCCAAAATTTCCCCCAAAACCCCAATTACTCTTCTAAACTCCCAAAACCCCTCAAAACGCCCTAAAAACCCTCCTAACCCCTAATTTCCACCCAAAAAATTCCCTTACCCCCACCTCTTCTTGACCCATCCTCTACTCACCTTTCGCTGCGACCAGTCTCTCTATTTTACCCTGGTTCTGGGCGAACTTATCAATAATCTCTCTTCTGTTCATTTCCTTATAAATTATTTAATTTGAATCTGTTTGCAATTTATCTGTGCTCGTCTGGGGTTTTGGGGTTTTGGGGTTTTGGGGTTTTGGGG